ATCAATTTTCAGGCTGCATACTCTCTCTCTCTCTCTCTCTCTTTCTCTATCTCTCTCTCTCTTTCTCTATCTCTCTCTCTCTTTCTCTCTCTTTCTATCTATATATCTCTCCCTCTCTCTCTCTTTATCTATCTATCTATCTATCTATCTATCTATCTATCTATCTATCTATCTATCTATCTATCTATCTATCTATCTATCTATCTATCTATCTATCTCTCTCTCTCTTAATCTCTCTCTCTCTCTCTTTCTCTCTCACACACACATACACACACACACACACATACACACACACACACACACACACACACACACACACACACACACACACACATACATTTTTAATTGAAAAGAAGAATTTCTTGAAACTATATTCCGTGCTCCCTTGGGCGCCAGTTTTTAAAATTCGTCGTATTTCACAATTATAAGTGAACAAAAATAAGGTAACCGAGACGTCAAACGGTATGAGCTGAGTTCTGCCCCGGGTGAAATCAGCCTGAGATTATAGTCCACTGTTGTTGTTGTTTGTTTGTTTGTTTGTTTGAGGGGGGGGGGGGTTGTCCCAGCGATGACCTTGTTCATAATTAAGATGTGACCACTGGATAGATAGATAGATAGATAGATAGATAGATAGATAGATAGATAGATAGATAGATAGATAGATAGATAGATACTTTTATCGATTTTAGACCACCAAGGGATCTTTAACGTGCACAACTTGCACACGGGCCCTCCGAGATTTTTCGCCCTTGTCCGAGAACGCTAGGTGTAGATCTTTCCTACCAGAAGATTAGTGGTGTGGCTGAAAGACAGCAGTAAGAAGAAGCGTAGGAATAGCAGTATAAAGGCTGCAGAAAGAATCATGAGCCCAGAGGAAGGGGCAAAGGAAGTGAGGGGGTGGGGGCAGAAAGAGGAGACAAAAGCAGACGACAGAACATTGCTAGAGAGCAGGAAATGAGGTGAAATGAGACAAATTTTAGAGAGAAAAAAATGTTCGGTCGCTACCCGGATTCGAACCCGGGACTTTTGAATGAGAGGCCAACACCTTAACCTCTAGGCCACGAGAGCCCCCAGAGATAGACAGATAGATAGATAGATAGATAGATAGATAGATAGATAGATAGATAGATAGATAGATAGATAGATAGATGTGTGTGGGGGGGGGATGTGTGAGCCTTGCTAAGAGTTGACATGTTTGTGTCACTGTATTGTACTATTTTGATATAACTATGAAGTCATAGGTTTAGAAGCTTAAAACACAAAAATCACCGAACTGCTTCATAATAAACATGTTGTGCATATAAAATGCTAATCGCCAAATAAAAAATGAATTCTGGGAATGTTTGCGTCCGTATGTATGTTACCGTAGTTACTTATGTCCGAAAGAAATTAAACATATGTGAGGCAGCGTGGTGGAATCAGGCTCTCGTCCATTTTTGGGCATGTAGAGATATTGGTATCATCTTAAAGCTTGTTCACTTTTATTTATTTGGATGGAAAAAATATCCATTTACCTTTTATACAAGTCGAGATATTTGCGAAAGAAGGAGGTAAAATTAGTGAGAAAATGGCCGCCAAAGATTAATTATTTCCTTAGCTTAAGAGTCTATGGTATTTGAAAAACTACTTATCGTATGCCTTAAATCAACGTTTTTCAGAAAAATCCACACATAAAAATGAGTTTTTTAAAGGGCATGAAAGGTGTTGAGCCAAAAAAACAAAAATTTGATAAAATTCCAAAACCTGCGGAAAAATGCAAGTTTTTTCACTTTGATTATTTTGACGAGAGTCTGATTCCACCACGCTGCCTCACATATTATTATCCCATTTTCATATTTTACTTTTTTGTGTGTGTGTTGGCGGCTTCGTGTGAAAATGTTGAAAACAAACTAGCCAGAAGGTTTAATTAGACTCCAATGCATGTCGATGATTTTAAAAAATTGTCACTTCATTCATGTTCTACAATGACTTTATGGAATGTATAAAGCCTATTTCGAAAATACCTACGATTACTTAATATGGACATAATAACAAAAATAATATGTTCTTTTTTATTAGTGTTTAAATAAGAGAAAAGGCCTATTAAAAGTTATTTATCAATACACTAGCTGGGTACCCCATTCGATGAACGGACTCAAAAGAATTGACCGTCAAGCCATTGTGGGCTAAGTGGGCACTGCATGTGAACGGAAGCCTCAATTGTTTACAATGGCGTCTTAGAAGGCGGAATTTCCCAAGATCCGATCTGAACGAAACTAATGAAAAACTGAAAATTAAACTACATTGACTTCAGACTCTTTAATATAGCAGTGCATCCTTTCAATGATTCTGAACGATCGAAAGTTAAGTGGCTCGGAAGTTTTAGGCGACCAAAGTGACGAGCACTAATATTATACATCTCAACTGTAGGCACCCAAAGAAGATTTGTTTATTTCCGGCGTAAGAGCAATTTTTATATCATGGAAAACGAAATATGTCTTGAACACTGCATTGAAATGACGAACGGGAAAATCGTAAAGGGTCGATAGTGTTTTCCATTTTTCAAAAAATTGTTAGACCAATGCAAGCACTTACTGAATTGATAGGAACTTAGCTTGGTCTTTGAACTAGCTTCAGTTATTTTTTCATGGTTCTACGTTCGGTAGTTGTTGGGGGGTTTTTTATTATAGAAAACAACCATTCACATGTACGCAATTAGATATATATACTGACGAGCAAAAGAAAGTGGGCACCCTCCGTTCTGTGCATTATTTCCCTTCTTTGCCGTTGTAATGCCGTATTGCCATTGGATTTTGAAAGGCTTGCCATTTTCTCAATAAGTGCAGACAAAAAGACTAAGAAAAACGATCAAAAGCACACCTTTTATTAGAAATTAATAATACCTATTCGAATGTTCAAAATCCCAGAACTAGTAACAGGTGTATCTCCCACCAGCATTGATGACTACAGTGCATCTCTGCTTCATGGATTGCATATGTCGTTGGATAAATTGCTGGGGAATATTATTCCAAGCATCTATAAGTGATTGCTGCAGTTGTGGGATTGTCATTGGGGGTGGCTAAAGTGCGTGAATTTCCTTTTCCATCTTGTTCCAGAGGTGCTTTATGGATTCCCATACCATAATGCTACGTTTGTCAGCAACAACACTGACACACTGAGGTAAATAACGTTCATGACGTCTCCGGCAGACTTTCTGCCTTCCATCGTGGTGATCCAAAAGAAAGCTGGACTCGTCAGAAAACATCACTCTGTTCCACTGGCGGTTTAGCCATCGCCGATGCAGACGTGTCAAGTTGAGTCTGACATGACGGTGTCTTTGGAGGAGACGAGTGCGTAGAGGTGGGTGTCGGGCAACGATTCAGTAGGCTTTCAAACGTCGACAAACGGTGAAGCGGCTGATTGGTTTATGCCCAGCCCAATCTCTGACAGTTTTACAAGCTGTTTGAAGCCAATCATGCAAGTTTGGAACTCTGATCCGATTGTCTTCTACCACAGTAGAGACACGAGGACGACCAGGCCTTGGAGTGTCACTAACCGAACCACTTGCTTGGAAGTGTATCCTTAGCTTCTGGACAGTATCTCCCTTCACATTGAAAGCTCTAGCGACAGCAGAAACCCTCGCATGAGCTCTCAGCGTGTCAAGAGCTTCATGACGTTACGCTTCACAAAGACGAGGCATCGTATAAAACAAAATTGAAAAGAACAAACCCAAAAGTTTTGACGGCCTTTTTGCCGACACACGTTGAAGTGTGAAACGAAACAAGAATAAAAGTAAAGGCATTGTCAAGGACTACTATTTTACATTGTAAACTTTCAAGAAAAAACGAGAAAACACGTTTTTGGCCAAACGTGTTGTAAACACTTTTTATAATAACAAAATAAACAAATGTTGTTCTGACTGACTTTCTAAAGTGACTCAAACTCAGCATGTCTATCGCCAAGTCAAAATTCGCGAGACTACTCATACAGCACCAATTTGAAAACTGCCCACTTTCTTTTGCTTGCCAGTATAGATAAGTATTTATAATTTCACAGTATAAATATTAGCCTCACACAATGAACAGACATAACAATATAATATTTTTAATGTAAAATACATGCTAACACTCATGCAATGAAAAGGCAAAAAATGGTAAGTATAATTACTGAATATTAGATCAATATCTTAACAAATCGAAAAAGGATGAAATTCATAATTTAGAAAAGAACAACAAAGTAACAAAATTTATTCAAATACTGATGTTAACCAATGTCCTTAAAGATAGAACACGTTGTTTAATATATTTTTAAAAAATCAATAGTGTAGTGTCAAGACAAAACGATTAATAAAACGGGGGTATGGGGAAGTGGGGTAGATTGTTAATGTCTGGAATAAAACTTAAGCTTTTTCTTTGAGTGGCTAGTTGTGGTAAGGTAGGGATAACTTAAGTTAACACTGCCAAACATGAGAAAATGTAGAAACCTTTCTTCCGTTCTTTAGTCCAATTCTTAAGTTGTCTTTTCACTTGTTTATTTATTTTCATGAACAATAAAAGCTTTAAAATCTTTCCTCATAAGCTTTTAGACCCTCTCTACGTCTCCATTGTATTGATGGTACATTTTGTTTTCGTTGGAAAGTTTTGTTTTTGGTGGAGACATGCATAAATCTTATTCGAAAATTAGAGGATCTAACTCTTAGGTGTGTACCTAGAATTAAGAATGTGGGAGATATACAATCTAAAATTCAAGAGCTAGTCAAGCACATGTGGTCCAATCTAAAGCTAAAAATAAAAGACCACTTCACCGTTCTATCAAATTTTGCATACACATGAATATACATTAATTGTAATAAATCATTACACATATGCAAGCCATTGCTTTCAATGGAAAAATGAATAAAGACAGTACAGTGTTAGAAGAGAAGAATATGGAGAGAGGGAGAGAGGGAGAAGAAAAGAGAGAGAGGGAGAGAGAGAGAGAGAGAGAGAGAGAGAGAGAGAGAGAGAGAGAGAGGGGGGGAGAAGAGAGAGTGGAAAGGGGGGGGGGATTAAGAAAGAAAGAAATTAGTTTGATAGAGAGAGCTAGTTAGATAAAACAAGAAACAGGTAATCAGAATCTAAAGCAGCAGCTGTTTGAATCACATCCGGATAGCAACAGCATTATCTCCTCCAATGTTACTATTTTTAGCTTCTCTGGCTCCCTCTTCCTGTGGCGCTTTGAGAGTGACAGCATCGTCGACCTGGAACCCATGATTATCTTCCCCTGTTTTTATCTCGCCATGTTCCGGCTCACCGTTCAAAGTCGGGCGACTCTGTTCCGGGTCCGATCCGGTTTGAGGGGTGTTGGAAACCTTTTGGAGGCTACCATTAGCCTCCCGACTGGGATCATCACTGAAAGTTACCCGACTTTCCTCCAAGGCTGGGTACCCTTCAGACATCTCACTGGAGCTCGTACTCCTCGACAGATCCGAATAGTAATGATGGCCGCTTTCTGTGTCGGTAAGAGCGCCCCGCTGAGATGGTTCCGAGCTTCGAACGGAAGACGACAAGGCAGAGTCCTCGTCGTTACCAGATTTGGCGCCAGTGCCCAGAAATGATGTGTAGTCGTTTTGAATGCTGAATACTGCCGGTTTGGAAAGTTTCAGATTTTGGCAGTCTCCCGATTCAGTGGTTATTGTTGAAAGAACGGGTTCAAATGTGTTTGAATTTGGCTGGTTTTTCTTTCCCTCCACATTTGGGGCTGGTGATTTTTTCGCCGGTTTTATGAGGTTGCGGACCGGAGTTTCGATAAGCATGGACAGGACAAAAGAGATGGCGTACGACAGGACAAACACTGCCAGGTAACGCTCAACCTGGGGAAATAAGAAAGCGACGTTGTATATTTGCTTAAAAAGAAATCTGAGGGTCAAAAATGCCACGTTATCCAAGTGCAATTTAAGCCCGCGTGTCCATCAAACCAGACACCGCTCGCCCAACAGCCGTCCGTCTTTCGGGATGTCGGTGGTTAAAATGAAGCCCGAGTTTTTAACTTAAAAATCGGTGAGAAATCCTGTGGATATATCCACCATAGCGACACAACTCCTCCCTACATCAGACGGGTCTGTTTGAATGCCGTATGCTGCATTTTTAATTCTTAGTTGGGAGGTGTGGCGATTCATCGGTCGTATCGCAGATGGAGCTTTTAAAAATTCTAATGTTAATTTCTGATGAAAATTATAATATCCTTTCGTGATCAGCACTCCAAAATTAACAAAGTCTTCAAGTACATTACTGGTTTAAATGCTTATTAACCGTTTTATTCTTTTTTAATCTTTTATGGTTTGAAGTTTCATTGTTGCGGTTTTTTTAAACCTTAATGGAAACTATTAAAACATACGAAAAGTCGAAAAAACAAACGAAAAAGAAAGAAAGACAGAAAAGAGAACGAAAGAAAAAAGAAACGCAGCAAGACCGTAAGACAGTCAGCATGACAGCGATAAAGACAGCAAAACAACAAGAAAGACAGAAAAAAAGACAAAAAGAAAGACAGACAAAGAGGGAATGGAGGTGTCCTCACCATGTAATTGGCTGTAACATAAGCCAAGCTCCTCGCGTTGTTGTTGAAATAATGCATGACCATCACGTGCGACAGGTAGGTGCCGAATGTGAGTCGGGACAGCGGAATCCAGGCACCCCAAGAAAGGAAACTGTTCACCACACCTGGAAAGGAAATCATACATGTATTTATGTCTTTGCTCCTCGGGAGGATCAATTATTTTATTTTGTCGTATCCTTTCTTATTTTGTCTTAAGTAATGAAAATAAAAATGATCATAATAAAAACTGTGCTACAACTTTTGATAATAATGAAGATTATTATGATATTGATGATTATTGTGATGATGATGATGGATGGTAATAATAATAATAATAATAATAACAATAATAATAATAATAATAATAATAATAATAATAATAATAATAATAATAATAAATAATAAAATAATAATAATAATACATAATTTCTATAAGGTTTTCCATTGTACAATAGAGCTCTAAAATATGCTCTATACTGTCTTAATTTTCACCCCCAAAA